CCTGACCTGACCGGGACTGACACGACATCCCATCATACTTCACACATGTGAGAGGAGGAGATACCAAACTGTTGCATACCGTAATGGTGCAAACCAGAACAAGGACCGTCCTCCCTCACATAGTACAAGATAGCGCAGCGGAATGCTAGGATACCAATGATAAACCCAATCAATGTTGCAATGCAGACTAAACATCCATCATCATCATTTCAAGGTGTGAAGAGGCCTGGCACTCACACACGAATAATGCGCCAGCCCCAAACATCCACAGACGAAGAGGAGGGGGATTAGACGAAGATGAGGGGGAAGATGGGAATGTCGCCACACAAGTGTCCCTGGTACCGATCCCAAATGGTCCCTCGTCAATGTCTCGATCCCAAAGTCGAGGCTGTATCCCAATGTCGTCAACATCCCCAAAGTCACCAATCTCTCTGTTGCTCGTAGTCTGCTGATGTCGAGAAGTCAGATAGCGAGAGGGTGAGGAAGAGATGGTGGACTGAGAGGAGGAAGAAGAAGAACTCTCTCTCTCTCTCTCTCTCTCTCTCTCTCTCTCTCTCTGTGTGTGTGTGTGTGTGTGTGTGTGTGTGTGTGTGTGTGTGTGTGTGTGTCATGTGCCAGGTACTAACTTCTGAAGATGGCGCCGTGCTGCAGGTACCTCGAAGATGAAGTTGGAACTATGGCGCTGCAGGTAACTCTCCCTGGCCTCCACCAACTCTCTCTCTCTCTCCAGTGCTACTCTAGCTCCTACTAGCGCCCAGCGCTGAAGACTACTGATAAGGCTACTACTACTACTGCAGCGCTCCTCCAGAGTCCTGCTGCCGAATCCTGAAGACTGCCTCCTGCCTCCTGCACGTGAAGTGCCTGGGAAGTCCCCATGAACTACCTGCAGTCTGCAGGGCGGGCCAGTCTAATATAGTGCTGGCCCGTCCAGGAGGCTGTTCTTGCCAATGCCGAAATGTGCCAGACCCTGGCGTTGAAGTTCAAACAAAGGTTGTCTTGAAAACAGGCCCAAAATGGCCTGTGCTAAAACCCTGGTCTGGTGCCTAAGTTTCAGGGCAGGTCGATCTTATGAGGGCCTGAAAATGGCCCTCCGTTTCATGCTGAAAAGACTTAGGGCCTGGAGGGCCCTTTTTTAGGCTGAAACGACACAAGGCCTGTAGGCCCTTATTTTCAGGCTTTCCGCTGAAACGACACAGGGCCTGTAGGCCCTTGTTTTCAGGCTTTTAGGCTTAAACGACACAAGGCCTGAAAATGGCCCTCGTTTGCAGGCGCAGCATGTAACACCCCCCCCTCCTTATGAAGTCAAGCCGGGTCGAGGGCGAAGCTGACGATCTGAAGGTGGAACCTGGACGTGGGTGCGACGTGGAGCCGAAGATACCGGCTTGCCTTGCATCTTGCGCTCGTAGCGTGTGAGAACATCTGGAGCTGTTGCTTGGAGTTCCGCACGGGCCGACCAACGGTCAACTTTGTGGGTGCAGTACGCAAAGTGTACCAAGTATTCAGTTGGCCTGTTGTCGTAGCGTCGCTGAGAGATGATGTCACCGACCTCTTGAAAACCGTCCATAGAGGGTGGGTCTTGCGATCGTCGCCCGGGAAAGTCGTCATGTTCCGCTGGCGTGTAAAGAGTCAACTTGGAGCAATGAAAGACCGGATAGACGGGCAAGTGGGCGGACACCTGAATGATGAAGGAAGGTCCTTCGGGTGCATCCCCAGCGGGTGCCAGGATCAGCCAGGGCCCCATCCATTTCAGGAGGAGCTTGCGAGAGATATCTTGTTCGAGGCTGAGCTCCGCGGTGGAAACCCAAACGAGATCGCCGGCGCAGAATGGACAAGGAAGACGCTGGCGATTGGTCTGTTGACTCATTTATTGCTGCGTCTTAGTCATATGGTCGCATGATAGCGGCAAGGCAAAACATGGCAAACTTGGTGAGTCGGTCGACCACTTTCGCGCCTTTGGTAACTAGTCTAATTAGGTCGACATTAAATCAAATCTAGGTATGTATATTGGAAAGAAGTCAATCCAGCCGCAGGTTCCCCTACGGCTACCTTGTTACGACTTCACCTCAGTCACTGATTCTACCGTGATAGTCTCTATGATCAACGATGCGAAAAACACGTTGCGCACTTGACGTGCATAACGTATCAAAGTCATTGGTTTATCTCCCATCCACACCGGTCTTGTGCTTGGGGAACGGCGTGGTAATGTCCATGGCAATCGCTTCCCTCTGGCGCAAGGGGACCGGTAATGGTCGCAACTCGCCGTACGGACGATGGTTGCGGGATTTGCAGCTTCGGCAAACCTAGCATGACTCGCAATAACGTGTGACGTCGCCGAGAAGGCCGGGCCACCAAAAGTCGCATGACTCGCAATAACGTGCGAAGTCGGCCAATTGTTCGATTGACTCCAAAGTGTCCGGTGGCTGGAGCATCGTGGAACTCGCCAAGAAGCCATGTACGCAAGTGAGAGTCACTCGGTATGCAAAGAAGCTCCTTCCTCCGCGTGTGGACTAGCAAGTACCCCTCTTGGATCTGTTAGTGAGAAGGTGCCGGATTAGGAGAGGAGCAATTCGCGTACTTGTCGCGAAACTCGGGGCTGGCTTGGTAGCCACGGATGAATCTGTTCCGCAGATCATCGTCGATCTCGAAGGTCGAATAGACTGCGGTACAATGATCCGGACGCCGTGAAAGAGCATCCGCAAAACGGTTAGACTTCACCGGAATGTGATCCGGAAAGAAGTCGAATTGGTCGATGAAAGTCATCCAACAGGCGATGGTGCTATTGACGCTATCTTGGGTCTTGTAGAAGACCAACGGATTGTTGTCCGTTACCCATCGGAATTGACTTCGACCAAGGAGGAAGTGTCGCCACCACTTGAGCGCGTGGCCGAAGGCTAAGAGCTCCTTCTTGCGTGCATCATCAATGGAGTGTACGATGGGCACTTTCTTGCTGAAGTACTCGACCGGGTGCCAGTCCACGCCATCGTGTTGCTCGAGGACAACACCAATGCCATAGCCGGACGCATCCGTAGTAACGCGCGTTGGCAATAGCGGGTCGTAGATTCACAAAACCTCCGCGGACAATAATGCCGGTTTGAGAGCCAAGAATGATTCTCGCGCATCCTTCCCGAAGTCGAACGACCGATCCTCGCATTGAAGCGTGGTCAAGTGGGCCGCAATTTTCGAGAATCCCTTGATAAAATGTTGGTAGTAGCCGGCAAGGCCAAGGAACGAACGGACATCCATGATGTTTCGCGACTCCGACCGCTCTTGGATGACTTCAATCTTGTCTGACAACGGACTGATGCCCTCCGGTGTGACAAAATGGTCTAAGTATTCCAAATCTTGTCGGACAAATTCGCACTTGTCACAGTTGGCTTTGTACTTGGCGCGGCGGAGCGTCTCCAACCCTCGTCGAAGGTGCTCCAGATGATCTCCAATTTCTGGCTATAGACGAGAATGTCGTCTAAGTAGACCAGCACGAACTGGTCCAACATCACACGAAACTCGGTGATCATTGCTGCTTGAAAGGTCGTCGGGGCATTGGTGAGACCAAAAGGCAGGACCGCCCACTCAAAATGCCCATACCGCGTCTTGAACGCGGATTTATAGCGATCGTTCGGCTGGATCGAAATCTGATGTTATCTCGACTTCAAATCCAACTTAGAAAAGTACTTCACCCCACCCAAATGCTCAAGGAGATCGTTAATATGAGGAAGTGGCCCTGCATTCCGGACGGTTTGCTCGTTGAGCTTGCGATAGTCGTCACACAATCGTAGATCCTTGTTCTTCTTCCGTACGAAGAGAATTGGTGATCCATATCGGGAGCTACTAGGGCGGATCCAGCCTTTGTCCAACAAGTCATCGAGTTGCGCGCGGAGGACCGTAAGCTCCTCCTCACTCATGCGGTAAATGCAGCCTTTCGGCGGCACGGCACCGGCCTCAAGAATGATCTCGTGAGAGATCGGCCGATCCGGCGCCACACCGGTAGGTTACTTGAACACGTCGGTGAACTCGTCAAGCAATCGCACCACACGGGGGTCCGAAGACAAGTCCGTGGGAGAAGAATCGGCTACCGCGACGGTCCGTAGGAAGCATAGGCCTATCTCGTCGGGCTGCTCGTAAGCGCAAGTAGCCCGGCACGACTTGGCCGTCACCACTTGGCACCGGATCGAAGGGTGTAGAAGAGGAATAGTACACGACACTTCGGCGCCGAAGGCGTCCCGAACGGTGGCCCGCCGGTGGAAGTTGACCGTGTGATCCGCACTTGCAAGCCAAGGCATTCCCAAAATGATATTGAAGCCCATGTCCAAAATGTCGAACGTCACCGGTTCGCATGCATGAGGTGCGAAATACACTGGTACGGCCTCGATGTAACGGTCGATAAGTTGTTGCATCCTTCCGTCCGCCAACTTGATCATCACGGGGTTTGCCTTCCTCCAAAGTTGTGCGCCAAGCCCAGCCCTTTGCATTAAGGCTTGGCTCATGAAATTGTGACTCGCTCCGCTATCCAGCGTGACGCTTGCCCAACTTGGATGCGGACATAGAGGAGCGGTGCGTTGTTGTCCTCGTACCGCTGCTTGCAAAACTCGCAGGCCACCTTGGTAACATACGCAAGGATGTCCCCCACCGCAACTTCGTCATTCGTCGACGAAGTTGGTGGCGCATAGAAGGATAGATATGTGTGGAGATGAGCGCATAATACTGCGCATTGCGGTCCCGGCAAGCGGCCCGTGGTCGGGAGAGGAAGCCATGCAAAATCCTCCGTCGTGAGCGGGTCCAAGACCTCTACATTGAACTCGCGCGCCGAATCCCGTGAAGAACCACTTGAAGACGATAAGTTGCCACTGCCGGACGGAGAAGATGTCGCACACACGTATTGTCCTTCAGCATGAGTATCCAGTGTAGGAACGAGTCGGGCAGCATAGTCCTCATAAGAATATAGAACAGGAGGGCTATCGACTTCCGCATGTGCCTCAGAACGAAGGGCGGTCACCCGCGAAGCGACCGGCTCCGAAGGCGTCGAGAGTGTCGTCGATTCACTCCCGACGGTGCTCAGTTTCCCGACTTGCCCTTGCCTTTTGACAGGCAACCCACTGTGTCGTGGAGATCACTTTTACACCACAGACAATAGCAGAATCTCGTGCATAGCTTGTACGCATGTTCGGAGAGACCGTAGTGCGACCATGGGGCTGGAGCTGCTGCGCCGGGCCCGGGGATAGATGTGGTGTTTGTCTTCGTCTTGCCTCGTCCTCGGCCTTTGCCAGGGCGGCCACCATCCCGGACGGCTGCGAGTCTGTCCCCTTCATTAGCAGACACGGCCTCGCTAGAAGTGTCGGTTGGCGTTGCCTCCACGACCACTGCCACCTTCAGCCGATGCTGATTTCTGCTCGGGCCTGTCGCAGACGAACGGTTGAGGTTTTTGGCCTCGTTGTTCGTGACAATGATCTGCTCGGCCTTGTCAAAAAGCTCCGCCGTTGTCTTGAGGGTTTCCTCGACGTGAGTCAAGGCGTTGCCCAACGCCAGACACGACCTCGTGATGAAGTAGTGTTTGACGGCCTTGAAGCCCATCTGAATGTCTGGGACGGATGTCAAGCGTTGGTACTCGGCAATCAAGTCAACACTCGACAGCGTGCCTTGTTCGAAGGTCAGCAATTTGTCCATTGCCTTGATCTTCGGCTCTACATGGAACCGCTTAGGCCACGCCGCCTTTAGATCATCCCAGCTGATCTTGGTGTACAAGTCGGCAGCTACCACCCCGTATTTGGACAAGAGATTGTCCAACCATGCTTGGCATGCGCCCCCCGACCGAGAGTATAAGTACGAGTGTTTCTTGTCCTCGATGACATGATGTAGCTGCAACTTGAGTTCAAACTTCAGGAACCACGGAATCGGGTCCGTCGTCATCGAATCGCAGAAGATCTCTTGACCATCGAACTTTGGAGTCGTCTCGCGCGGTGCCGAACTCAGGTTGGCGGCTGCAGCACAGATCCGTTGCTCCAGTTGTTGTGTGGCGGTTTGTTGTAGCTGTGTGCTGTCCTTGAGGGCTCCGACGTCGATCTTCAATGCATTGAGGCAATCGGAGGTGTTGGAGGAGCTGGCATCGGGGGCGGTGACAGGTCGTTGCTCCAGCTGCTGGAGGCGGCTGTTGACTTGATCAAACACCCGTTTGTGCGTCTGAACCACGTCGTCGAGGATGTGGATGTTCTCCTGTTGTGCAATGCACGTTGCTAAGAGATCCGTGAAATGGGAGAGGAGTAAAGCGATCTTGCTTTCAGTCTCTTCCATCTTACCATTCTCGGCCTCGGCTCGCCAGTCCGCTGCCATTGTGAGCAAAGCTCGCTCTCCGTTGAATATCTTCTCCCGTCGTTGATTTCGTTCTTCATCTGCAGCCTTTGCTGCTGCCTCGTCTTGCTGGCGCTGCTGTTCGATTGCCAACAGACGTGCCTTCTCGGCATCCTCTGCCTTGTTCTTCTTTGCGGCTGCTACCTCATCCGCCCGTTTCTTGGCTTCGGTAATCAAAGCCAGCATCTGGGCCTGATAGGCCTCGGCCATTTCCCCGGCCTTTTGATCCATACCGGCTGTTTGTAAGCGCGTGAGCATAGACCAGGCTGGAGGACTGCGGACGTGGCACTGTTCAGCTGCTGACGTGGTGCGGCTGTCGGCTGACATGTCCTGCTGACGTGGCCTGCTGACGTGGTAATTCACCAATGCCGCCGCGGGGGGTACCCGGAGACAGATAGAGAAGATATGACCAGAGGGGGCAACAACATAGGTGGGGAGGGGTGCGTGGGATAAATCACCCAGATAAGGAGCCACTAATCAAAAAGAAAAGTTTGAACTTTTGCAGAGAAAAAAATTCGAGAAGTTAATAAAAATCCCGAGTTTTGCAAGTTTGGTAGGTCTCCCAATCTCCCTTAAACAAAAGAACAACGAAAATTGGAAAAAAAAATAAAAAAAAATGATTTTGGCAGTTAGGTCCAGATGTCAGATCAGGTTGTCCTCATTCACGTGTGGTGCTCCAATACCAACTGATACATCCAAGTTGGGCAATGTATGTAAAGCCAAGGATCCGCAAGGTGATGAAAAGGACTGAATGGACTATGCAGAGTTAGTGGAATCTCAGCAAGCAGTGTACATCCTGATACATACAAAATGGCAATTTGTAGCGCAGTGGAAGACTTGGATATAAGTCCTGACCTGACCGGGACTGACACGACATCCCATCATACTTCACACGTGAGAGGAGGAGGAGATACCAAACTGTTGCACACCGTAATGGTGCAAACCAGAACAAGGACCGACCTCCCTCACATAGTAGAAGATAGCGCAGCGGAATGCTAGGATACCAATGATCAACCCAATCAATGTTGCAATGCAGACTAAACATCCATCATCATCATTTCAAGGTGTGAAGGGGCCTGGCACTCACACAGGAAGAATGTGCCAGCCCCAAACATCCACAGACGAAGAGGAGGGGGATTAGATGAAGATGAGGGAGAAGATGGGAATGTCGCCACACAAGTGTCCCTGGTATCGATCCCAAATGGTCCCTTGTCAATGTCTCAATCCCAAAGTCGAGGCTGTATCCCAATGTCGTCAACATCCGCAAAGTCACCAATCTCTCTCTCGCTCGTAGTCTGCTGATGCCGAGAAGTCGGATAACGAGAGGGTGAGGAAGAGATGGTGGACTGAGAGGAGGAAGAAGAAGAACTCTCTCTCTCTCTCTCTCTCTCTCTGTCTCTCTCTCTCTCTCTCTCTCTCTCTCTCTCTCTCTCTGTGTGTGTGTGTGTGTGTGTGTGTGTGTGTGTGTGTGTGTCATGTGCCTGGTACTTACCTCTGAAGATGGCGCCTGCAGGTACCTCGAAGACGAAGTTGGAGCTATGGCGCTGCAGGTAAGTCTCCCTGGCCTCCACCAAATCTCTCTCTCTCTCCAGTGCTACTCTAGCTCCTACTAGGACCCAGCGCTGAAGACTACTGCTAACACTACTACTACTACTGCAGCGCTCCTCCAGAGTGCTGCTGCCGAATCCTGAAGACTGCCTCTTGCCTCCTGCACGTGAAGTGCCTGGGAAGTCCCTATGAACTACCTGCAGCCTGCAGGGTAGTGCTGGCCCATCCAGGAGGCTGCTCTTGCCAATGCCAAAACGTGCCAGACCCTGGCGTTGAAGTTCAAACAAAGGTTGTCTTGAAAACAGGCCCAAAATGGCCTGTGCTAAAACCCTGGTCTGGTGGCTAAGTTTCAGGGCAGGTCGATCTTATGAGGGCCTGAAAATGGCCCTCCGTGTCAGGCCGAAACGACACAGGGCCTGTAGGCCCTTATTTTCAGGCTTTCAGGCTGAAACGACATAGGGCCTGAAAATGGCCCTTGTTTGCAGGCGGAGCATGTAACAGAGAGTGAGAGAGGGAGAGGACAAGAAGAGGAAAAAGCATTCCTAGAATCAAAACCCACATGTTTTCCGATTCAAAACAGAAGGATCACGTACTCAATCAACAAACACAGAGAAACCACAGGCCGCTGGATCACAAAGACTACACCGAAGAGAATTGTATCGTTCTCATTGAAGTTTATAATTTACTATATGATCAGCCCTGCGAGAGGTACAGGGGGGCTAGTCCTACCAGCAAGTGGAGTTGATAATGAACATGCACTTTTGGAGTACAGGGAAACAAGGGGAAATGAGATGAAGGGGACAGTGATGGGAGGAATGTTCAAAGGACATGGTTGATGGGAGCAAAGAGTGGGAAGGCATGGCCTCTCCAGTTCAACAAAGTTTTGATGAATTGAGGCACCCTGCCAAGCCCCCTCCATCAAAAAACATACAGGCAACGGCTGCATGCTTTGATGGATGGAATGTTAATCCTCCTATCCTTCATCATCCTGATGAACTTGTGTCAGAGTTTCTTGATAACTCAAGTTTCGTGATGCTGGCGATCACGACGATTATTATGTTGTCTTGCCGACACAATGGACGAGAAGGTGATGATGTTGACAAGGGTGATGACAATACATGAGTGATGATGTGGGTGATAAGAATGATTATGACGTGGGTGATGATGACCTGGGTGATGATGATGATGTGGGTGATGATGTCCTTGCCCTTTGTACAGGGATGTAAGTGATGATAACGGCACAGATGAGGACAATGACGTGTGTGTAACAAGGCAACGAGGATGAAAATCAAACTTTTGAATTTTATCCTTGACTCTTCTTAAGGAAATAAAGGGCCTTGCGTGACGATACCGCGCAAGACCCTTTTCCCACCTGGGCCCAGTGCGCCACAAGGGGGAAGAATGGTTGTGGGCAGGAGCCTGCAATTTTTTTCGTTTACCGCGGCCCACCATTTTTTATCTTGTTGCGCGGTCGAACCCGCGCAGCTGTTGGGAGTCATGTGGCAGGGCGCGGAAGGACACGCCATCCTTTTTTTTTGTTTTGTTTTGTTTTTGAGAAAATCAGACATTTCATTCCAAAGGAGGGACAGGGGCCTGGGAAAACACCCCACAAATCAACCCGGTACACCACATGCTCGGGCCATTACCCAGCTATAGGCTTCTGGAAACTGGGTCCAGTGTCCCTTTCCAAAAGAGTTCTCCAAAACTAAAAAAAGGATGAGGCCTCCATAGGCAGATTGTCTACTACAGCATACCGAGAATAACGCACCAGAAAATCTGCTTGCTAGAGTGAAGTTAGGGAGGGGAGCTAAAGCGCTCTGCATGACGAGCTGGGGAGAGGAGCCAGGGCGAAAAGCACATCCTGCCTTACGCAGTAAGTTTGACTAATCTGGACTCTCTACCCCAGGTGTCCCAGAACCATTTTCTGACCTTGTATGTTACATCTTCGATGCCACACGGGTCCTACCGGACCCGACTTAGGGCCGGAGGGACACACCAGGGCCTAAAGGCCCGACCTTGAGGGTCACAGGCCCTAAAGGCCTGATTTTGCACTCAGCCCAGTGGGTAGGCCCAAACGACAGTTTGTTTGGGCCTGGCGGCTCTCTTGAGGCTGCCACCCGCCGAAGGAGGCTGAACCGTCCATCTGGACGGTCCAGGGTCTGGCTTGGCCTCGCAGCATTGAGGCCAGACCATGGCCTACCGGTATAAGTACCGGTACCTGCCTCATTCTGAGGCATCGAACCACCGGCACTCTACCGGTGCGTTATGGTCAGCGCCAGAGCGCTGTTTGACGCGCTAAACTTAGCGCAGGGGCTGAAGCGGAGTGCAGCATAGCGCAGCTTAGCGCAGCAGCGAGCGGAGCAGCAGCAGGGCGACTAGCCAGCACGGCGGCCATTGCCGCCTGAGGTAC